GGTTGAAAATGAGAATCTGTACCAATCAGGCTCTTAGTAAAAAGAAGACGGTTGCTTAGGAACTGTATGAATTTATTGTTGATCATTCAAAACTATAAATCCCCTGTGATGAGAATTTCTTCGTCACCATTGTTGAATGTGCCAAATCCCCATCAAATCGATTTATATCAGTCTACCTATGACTATATATTCATCCACAACCCCATCAGTCATTCTAATTAGTAATTCATACTTAATTTAGGAAAACAACATCATTATACAGTCAATCACCTATTGTACACTATATATGTACAAAGTAATATAAATTCATTAATCTAGATATTTAAATCTAAAAGTTATCCTCGAAGGAGTTCAAAATTCGTTCTTTCATTTGTTTTCTTGATTATCTTCGTCATAAAACTAAAGAGTCGAGTCCCAAAGATTCACTTGTCGGACAAGCAGATGCAACAGTTAAAGGATTAAAGAATGCAAATATGGAGTATTTTCTAGAATAATGCCTTCAACAATAATTCATATCCAAAATCAATGTCAATTTTGTGTGCTATTCAGCTTTTAAATATGTCATTGCATATTTTCAGTTAAGAGTTATTGCAGTAGATTGAGATTGTACTTGCCTTCTCTTGTTCCTTTTGTGACCTGCACCTGAGGAAATAATGTAGTTTACAGCTGAAAGGTTGGGTAGATTTTGTACGGTTTTTGAAAATCGAAACTTAAATTAAACCATTTTGAAACGGTTTGAAGGAAGAAATGAGGTCCACATGGACACAAAACCAACAGTTTCAACCAATCGGTTTCGGTTCGATTTGCGATTTTGCGATTTTTTTGTGAAGCCCTAAACTCGACTTCCATAATGGAAGTAGCAGTTAAGGTCTGCTTGGCATTCCTCCATGATACTGCTCTACCAGCCATCATAAAAACATACCGTGATGTTGATTTGCATGAATCAACACATCCAGTAAAGTCTGAACCCGAGTATCTTGATTATCTGTATGTTTATATATAAGCATGCAATTTTAGATTTCTTGAAGGTACATCATCACTTTCTTTGCCGCTCTCCCTTGGTCCATACCTGGATCACTTTAGTATTGTTCTAACATTCCTATAACAAATGCAATGTGAAGCCTTGTGAAAACCTGAGCATACATTAAGCTTCTGACAGCAGAAGCATATGAAATGTTCTTCATTTGTTCCCTTTCTAGATCATTTTTTGGGCTTTGGTTCAAATTGAACCTATCACCCTTCATAATGGGATCTACACTTGATGAACAATCCTTTATTTTAAATTTCTCTAAAATTTTATTGATACAAGTTTCTTGAGACAAACTCAAGATCCCTCTTAATCTATCTCTATGAATCTTAACGCCAATGACTTAAGATGTTTCACCAATATCTTTCATATCGAAATGCTTAAAGAGGAATTATTTCGCCTCATGCGGCAATCCCTTATCATTATTTGTAAGCAAAATGTCATCTACAGTAAAAAAAACAAGGAAACAAATCTTACTCTCATTGACATTTTGGTATATACATTGATCCATGAGATTTTCAACAAATTTGAATGAATGACTTCATGAAATTTAAAATACTATTGACGAGATGCTTGTTTTAGACCGTATATAGATTTCTTAAGCCTACTGACCAAGTGCTCACCATCACTAGACGAGAATCATTTAGGTTGTTTCATATAAACCTCTTCATCTGATTCTACATTTAGAAATGTCGTTTTTACATCCATTTGTTGTAGCTCAATGTCAAAATTGGCTACTAATGCCAAAATAATAGGTAGAGAATCTTTATTAGATATTAGAGAGAAGGTCTCCGTGTAATCGATTCCCTTTTTTGTGTGAATTTCATAGCAACAAGTCTTACATTGTATCTCTCAGTGTTGCCTAGTGAGTCTTTATTTGTCTTAAAGACACATTTACAACCAATAGCTTTTGCATTATACCATAACTCTGTTACTCTCCATGGAACTCATCTTTTCATTCATAGCATTGTACCATAATTCTTAATCTTTGCAACTCAAGGCCTATGAAAATGACTCGAGGTCATTTTGGCTCCAATACTGTAGGTACACTTCTCAATCCTTAGTAATTGCTAACATTTTGGTTCTAGTAGATCTTTTTAATGTTGTACCATCATCTTCTTAAGAAGCTTGTGGTTCAATTGTTTCTTTATGAGGCTTTGGTGATTTCTGAACTACTTGATCTACTTGAACGTCTCAGTGGCTTTTGGAATTTCAATGATGGGTTCTTCAACAGTTATTTGTATTTGAGGGGTTCTACAAACTATGACCAATTTGAAACTTGAAGTTGAAGGTTGAGATTCTAAATATCATGCTTAGGATCTTTGTTCTTGGTTTGATCACTCCCATTTATTAAGTTATTCTCAAGAAACTTAACATTTATTGATTTCACAATCATAGTGTTGTGAGATGGACAACAAAATTTGTACCCTTTAGACCTTTCGGTATATCCAAAGAAATACCCACTAATGATCATTGGGTCCAGCTTCTTCTCTTGTGGATTATAAATCTTCACTTCAGACGAGCATTCTCAAATGCTCACATGTCACAAATTTGATTACCAATCTTTCAATAATTTAAATGGCGTCTTTGGGACAGCCTTGGTTGTATCTAAATTAACATATAGATTGTCATCTTAAGTGCTTCAGTCTACAAGGATTTAGGAAGATTAGAGCTACTAAGCATACTCTGTATTATGTCCAATAATGTTCGATTTCTTCTTTCTGCAACACCATTCTGGTCCGGTAAACCAGGTATGGTGTATTAGGCAACTATCCTATGCTCTTGAAGAAACTTAGAGAACCAGGTGCTTGTCCATCCTCTGTGTGTATATACTGTAATAGTATCCACTTCTATCTGATCTCACGATCTTAATCTGCTTTCTGCATTGTTTCTCTACTTCAACCTTAAAGGTTTTAATGGCACCAATGCTTCATTCTTGTTATGAAGCAAGTAAAGATACATATATTGTTAATAATCATCAATAAATGTGATGGAATATTTTTTTGACCATGGAGTCCATATCTCGACTACATATTTTAGTATGTATGATTTCTAATATGTTTGAACTCCCATTGGCACCTTTTTTAGACTTGTTGGTTTGCTTTCCCTTAACAC